TATTAAATCAAACTAAATTGAATTGAATTAAATTTAAACTTTAAATTTAAAATTAAATTTAAAATAAAAGAAGAGAATAAAATAATGTCAAATATTTCAACCTTCTTAACAAAACAAGAATATATCTAATCACGGTCTTTTATTTCTGAGAGTTTCAAATTTTTTGAAATCGATTGTTTTCAATACATAAACAATCATGATAGAGCTGTAATGGCAGATAGTACGGCCAAATTGATCGTCACTGTCGGTTTTAACGTTTATTGAATTGCACCACATGTTCAGAATAATGCTATCGTACATGTGCGTACAAATGTGTGCAATAAATAGAATCAGTGACTAAAGGGTGAAGGTGATGACGACAGTAAGAAGAGTAAGAGAAACAAATGAAATATGGGTGGATGATATTGCACGAAATTGACTAAAAACTAAAAGCAAAGAGATGCTAAATGCTGATGTATGAAGAGCATTAAAATTAAAAAAAAACTGGAAAAGTATTTAAAGCATCAATCGAATCAGAAGAAGAAAGGAGAAAGGTTTCGATAGGAGGGTGCGCAGTGAGATTAAATTCTTTTGTTACAGTAATTTGAATTTTAGATATAAGTATTGGACACTACATAGTTCGAGAAACACAGTCATTATTGATTTCAAAAAACGATCAAGCACTATTTTTGCAAATGAACCATAAAAGGATTAGTTGAAATCAAATATTTCTTGTTCATGTGCTTCACTTTTTTTATAGATGTACGGTTGAGTCGTTGGTGCACGTCTCACAGCATTCCAAATACTAGTTATCGAAGTTCAATCGATTAAGTATATATATATATATATATATATACACCTAGTCGAGAATTAACTCAGAGTGAAGTTACTGTTTTAGTAAACCCATCAACTTTTTCTCAAAGAATTCTTTTTTTCATGCTATTGTCTCGATTATAAATAGAGTCTTTGTGACTGCAATTGAAATATTTGATAGCCTTGTGATGAAGAAATATCCTTAAGATTTTTGCTATATCTTATATAATACGAAATCCTTGATGAAAACGAGTAAATTATAAGCACCGATCTACGAATGAATAACAGTCAAATATCATCATATGATTTCACTAAAATATTAACCATTTATTAACACACTAATATCTCTAATGTTCTTCAAATTAATGATCTCATGTGAACAAGAAGTATATTTCATTACAAAAAAAAGATGAGTCGGATAGCGTTCGTGGCTATTCATACTGGTAGCAAATGCCTGTGTTCAACTACGTTACGAGAGTCATAGTTTGTAAGCGAAGTAACCACCTAACAACGCCGTACTCGTCGATTCTTGCCAATGTGAGAATGTAGTATTATGCTGCTTGTCGATTGAGATTATGCAATTATATTATGAGTGTAATCACAGGAATTACAACAAAGTCTATTTTCACAATTATCTCCTACCCTCGAGTTAGTCTGACGAGCGTTACTTGTATCTATTAAAAATTTGATGAGTATGATAAAATGTAACCTGATGTGCTTTCAATGTCTTCTCTACTAAGTTTCTGTCGAATACTATGAATTGAGTGAAAATCTGGATTTTATTAAACAATAGTCCAATGATTAAACTAAATGTTTCGAATGGTTTGCAGACGGTCATGTTGTTACGGTTTTTGCGTAACGAACACTGATTCTTTTATTACCAAATAGCAACAGGTAAATGAAAAGGTTTTGCACTAAATTTAACTTAAAAATTTAGTTCTGTATGATAATACGAAAATGAGTTGCAGAAGTCACTTTTTAAAAAATGTCAAGCTTTTGTGGGAATTAGCATTCCATGCTCTAATATACTTGATAACATAAGTAAACAAGATATAAAAAGAGGAATGGACTATTATGAACAAACGACATCGACACTGAACTTGTGGAAGACGTTGTAGTTGTAGTAAACGGTGGAAGTGTTGTAGTTGTAGTAAACGGTGGAAGTGTTGTAGTTGTAGTAAACGGTGGAAGTGTTGTAGTTGTAGTAAACGGTGGAAGTGTTGTAGTTGTAGTAAACGGTGGAAGTGTTGTAGTTGTAG